ACTAATGACTAATCATCATGCTAATTACTTTGGTTTGCAGCCTCTGCAGCAGACACAGGAGCTACAGGACTCATGAAGTCAGAGAAATATAATACAGCTCCATAAATATGATTATGAGGGAGGAAACACTATCACATTAAATAAGGAGTGGAGAATGTAAGGAGTGGAGAAGCTATAGATATACAGGCACAAAATCAATGTTTTGCAACTATAAGAAAATCAAACAGATTAACCAAAGTTCACAAGAATTAACCCAGAAATACCCTCAGTTGCAAACATGCAACAAAAGGTTTGAAGGTTTTGGCAAAATAAGGATGTTTTTGTTTAATGCATTAACTACACTATACTGCTTCTTTTATGCAAGATTTAGAGATTATTTTATTTTATTTTATTTCATTTTAGTATAGTTATTATTGTTTTATCTTGTGCTGAGTGCGCCTCATTCCTAATGCTCTGTAACTGAAATTTCCCCCACTGTGGGACGAATATTCTACATTGCCAAATTTGGTCATTGAATGCTGTTTTCAAACACAGATAATTTTCAGCAAATATTTATGTTTGGGTTCTAAAGGGTAAAGAAAATTGATAAATTGTGAATGTCCCAGAGCATCACCTGCCCTTAGACCTCAGCAAGGGGGGCAAAATACAATTAAAATGGAAGCCACAATAGTGAAGTTATTTTTTTAGTAAATGCACCTCTGATTCAACCCAGACCACTCCTCGCTGGTCAAATCGCAAATAAATACGTAGCCCATTACAGTATTAAGTTTTAGTTGTTCCTCGCCGATGCAGTAGGGTCTAAGAGCAGTGATGATCGGGGACATTTAGGGACATTTAGGGACAGTGGCCATCCTGCTCCCTATGGACCAATGGCTCCTATGTGTTTGTTATTATTGCATTTACTGTGTTCAAACTCTAATTCTCTAATCTGTTGTTGAATCTGCAACTTAACTGTTCTTTAGGGCTATACAAAATGTACAAAATGTATTTGAGACAAGGAATAAATTAAAGATACAATATAAATTAGGACTGTGATGTTAGTGTTGATTATTCCCACACACACACACACACACACACACACACACACACATGTAGAGATTTCATAATACTTTTAAGCAACTGTGGTTAAAGTTCTAACTTCTTTCTTACATATGCAGAAGCCTGTACTTTTCCACTTGACATTTTGATTTCTGAAGGCCAAGCTACAAGCACACTGTGGCAGCTGCTGATTGGAGGTGTCTGTTTCTCCTGAGTATATTATCACTTGCTGTCTGTAAAATCCTTTGTTCGTGCGTCTACCATCAACAATAAAACATGTCTTCTGTCTGAATTAAAGACACGATCCCAGACTTTGGCTGATTCACACATGTTTAGACAACGCACTCACGAACATACACACACTCATACAGACACAGGCCCAAGCCCTCTCTGACCACACACCTTTCTCCCATGACTCCCTCAGTGCTGAAGGTGTCACTTTCTTTCCTTCACATAAGTTTTGCCTTTAATCCTTAATAAATATAAAAATGCTTAGAGATGTGGCTTAAAGACCGAAACAGAGTAATAGAGGACTGTGTAAATGTCACTTTGTTGATGATAAAACAGTTTGGTCTGAAAACAGAGATATTCAGCTATTAGAATGCCCTTAAGCTGTTGCTCAAGCTTTTCCGGGCCCAAATCTAGATCAAGTTGCCGGGGTCACAAGGCACCTAAAGCCTGGATCTAATCGCGAAGTGGGCCCTGGCCCACTTAAACCGGGCTTTAGGGTGCGCATGTGACCGCAGCCCAAGTCTCACATCCGCACTTTAAAACAACTAATCCAGCGGTGTCCAGACCTTTTAGAAAGAGGTCCACTTTAGTTCACCAGTCCAGGGGCCAAAAACCTGGATTGTATAACTGTTTTGACTGGATTCAAGCTTTAAAACATGGGTTGATATGTCCATATTGATTCACACTGCAGCTACATTACCATATATGGAATTCTATGACACATAAATATACACATAAAGTTGACGAAAGGATTCCAAACGGTCTGAGCTTTACAGTTATAGCACTTTATTGGTGGAGCTGAAGCTGGCTGGATGACACTGTATGTACCTCAATGGCTACTGTGTTAGCAAGGCAGAGAGCCACATAAAATGACACATGGGTTGAATTTATTTGAGTTTGGACATGCCAGATTTAATCAATAAGTCAAGAGAATCATTACTATATTAATCGATCATCCAAATAAATGATAAGTTACCGCTCTGATGTGGATTATTGCCCAATGTTATCCACCTAGGACCCCCCCCAAACCCCTCGGATGCTGCCCTTATCCCTCTCACGTTATGACGATTTTACACCCAATGGGCCAGCAAAGAGGGGTTGACCTCAGCCTCAATCTTGTGCACATAATCTAAAAGCCATTATAGGAAGGCACAAGTAATTCCGGCCTAATGGAGCACGCACATAAAGCATTTCGCAAGGAGCCCATACAGTAAATTGACTCTGAAAGAACGCGCACGCATGCACGGGCTTTTGGCACGGGTGAGGAGGGCGCTGAGCTGAATCAAAGGCTCCGGGTGATGGGGGTCAGCTGGTGGGGCGCGCATGTCAACCAGTCCATTGGACATGACCGCGCGTGTGGATCAGCAGGTGTATAAATATGTGTCATGTTTCTCACCCGCGCCATGCAGTGTCCGCGGGGATGCCAACCCAGATGGGGCTTCTAAACGCGTGCATTTCGTGTGGTATCAGTTAATAGGTTAGTTCACCCCTCATTGGCTCTCCATCTGGTGCCCTCCCAGCCTGCATGTCTGCGGATGAGACGAGGAAAACATTCACACACACCGGCAAACTGTATGGCCAAACCAAGATCTAACCTGCATGTTTTACGCACGCAGTCCAACCCCTGGCGCGCGTTTTTATACCCAAGCCAAAACGCGTGGAATACTTTGGGTGAAAGAGCCTAAAACATCCAAAGAAGACAACTGAAATAAATAAAGACATATCAAACAAGTGGGCACGATCAAAGCCCCGCGTTTAACTTACCTAAAAACTTCTCCAAAAAGAAAAAAAAAGTTGCTGTACTTTCCCATTAGTTGCAGTGCGGGCAAAATAATCCACAATTTGGAGATCCAGCTGGCGTTGCGGATGTTATTGTTACCCTCACATGAAGACGACAATCCCGTGGACGGTGACAGCCAGGTCTTAAGACAAGCGTGGCCAGTCCCTCCCTTTATTGACGGGCGCTCTTTATCATAATTTGCCAGTTTGGCGCGCACAGACAGCCAGACAGCCAGACAGACACGGGCTGTGCAAAAGAAGTGGCCTCACCTTCAAATGATGTTACCGCATATGTTTTCATAATAGATTCAGGGGAGAAAAAAAAAGAAAAAAAAAGTGGGGGGTGGGTTGAGTAAGGATGGGGCTGCTACAATTTAAGCAAGAAGTACGTGTTCATCATCATCATCATCATCAGCAGTATAGGCAAACTTATATCCAAGAACATTCATGGGTGGTGATGTGAAATGTTCAGGAAATTGAACGTAATAAAAATATAACAAGGGTGCGAGCGCGCGTTTTGGAGTAGCCTATGGAGTTGGTGGAAGGAGAGGAGGAGGTGGGAAAGGATAGGAAAGGGAGGGCGACTTTGAGATGACATTGAGGCTGTGTGTAGATGGTAGTTGGGTCTGCTTGTTGATGTTAGACAGTCGCGCCAGGAGAAGTGGCTGCTGCTGCCCGCGCTGAATCCGTCCTCCACCTCCTCTCTTCATCATTTCTACTTCTTCTTCTTCTGCTCCCTCCTCTTCCTCATCCCTGGCTTTTTTCAGCACTGGACAGCTCCTGGCCAAGGAACAAAGCCTAAAAAATATACATCTCCAACTGGTGTCGATGTTGATGCATGGTCACTTTAAGGCTTTTAATGGAAGTAATATCTCTTTATGTTCCAAGACAAATCGGGAGTTTACAACTTCTTCACCCACGGGAGGGATCTACGGATACCTCGTTCGGCATTTGTGGCAGGCGGCGCACTTGCAAGGATCAAGCATTGAATGTGAGTGAAAAATACCAGTTTTCTTTCAAAATGCGTGCTTTTCAGATGTGCAGTTAGATCAAATATGATAATTGACGTAGGCTGTGGGCTGCTCAGGTGTTCTGTCTGTGTTGAATGAATGCAATGCAACGCCACGCACCTACACAGCCAATTAAACGCAGAATTGATTGCTATGTTCTCGAGTCTGGTGAACGGTGCGGACGTGGCGCGCGTTGGTTGCCAATGAATTTGGACAGTCACAGCACAAGCCCTCTGTTCAGGGAGAAAAGCGACGTGTAAAAGCTGTATTTTACGCATTTTGGACAGCCTTTGTACCCTTCTGCGCACGGGGCTCGGGAGATCTCCATTAGAAGCTCGTGTTTGGATTTCTGCATGTGTCTTGGTGTTACAAGAATCTGCAGGTGGTAATTGGTCCGATTCGTTCTGCTTTTTTCTTATAGGCAGATAGCAGCGCTGCGTACGCTCGCCAGGGTCGTATATGTCTTGTATTTGCTGTGTCTTAAAAGTTTTTTGTTGAATTATAAATATTTTTGCATGTTTGATTTGTGTCCATGTGTGAGCTGGTCTGTTTTCACTGATGCTAATTACGCGCAATCTGTCGCTTTCAGTTGTGGGAGCAAATCCAGCATGACTTTGCCATCGATGGTTTTTGATGTTTGCTGAGTCTGATATGAATGAAAATATTGCGTGGAGACAAATGTGCAAGAAACGCGCTTATTTTGAACAGATTGCCTCGATGTATTTGCTGATTATTTAACCAAAAGGAGCCCACTTTTACGCACGTTTGTGACAGCAGAACCATGTTTTATTGACGCTTTCAGGTTGAGGGCATCTGACTGAGCCAGGCTTCCACCCAACAGTCCCAAAGGTTAGGTCTAAAAACACCGCGAAGCTGCTGTCTACGTGGACAGGTGCTGAAGTCTCACGTCCGACTGCCAGGACCTTTGCCAAAGCCAGAGACATGGCGACGAACGGCACCAAAGCGGATGGACAGGTGACAGAGCTCAACGAGGTGGCAACAAATAACGACAAGCCCAAGACATTGGACGTGAAAGGGGGCGAAAAGAAAAAAGATTTGCCTGCCAGGGAAACATGGGCGGGAAAATTTGATTTCCTCCTGTCGTGTGTGGGTTATGCAATTGGACTTGGAAACGTGTGGAGATTTCCGTATCTCTGTGGAAAAAATGGTGGAGGTAATGGTCTATTTCTCCCTTCAGATTATGTGCATGTCTCTTGGTGTATTTAGGCCTAGGATGTGCATCTTTTCAAATCATAACTTAATTACACTTTACTTCTGTCCATCCAGGAGCCTTCTTGATCCCATATTTCTTGACTCTCATATTTGCTGGGATGCCATTGTTTCTGCTGGAATGCTCACTTGGTCAATACACCTCCATTGGAGGGCTGGGTGTGTGGAAACTGGCGCCTATGTTTAAAGGTATACTGCTTTCATGAGTAGCAGCTGAACGTACGAGATTACAGAGCCCCTTCATGTGGAATGCATTTGTATTAAAAGGGTTTTTATAATGGCACATAAAACATATTTCTGTGTAATAGGTGTGGGCCTCGCAGCTGCTGTTTTGTCCTTCTGGCTCAATATTTACTACATTGTAATTATTTCCTGGGCCATTTACTACCTGTACAACTCCTTTACCACTGTGAGTATTCAAGGCATCATAAAGCAGCCAATGGACCACAGGGTCAAGGTTGTAATATCAGACATGTTGCTCTAGCGCGTGAATACAATCCATATGTTTTACAGGACCTTCCCTGGAGCTCATGTAACAACGCATGGAACACAGAAAAGTGTTACACAAACTACAGCATTGCAGACACCACCAACCTGACCAGTTCTGTGCTGGAGTTCTGGGAGTAAGACATCTACACGTTTATACTGCATCTACAGCTTTACAGCATCTTGCATGCGATCCTACACTGATGCATAAAAAACTGCCTCCTCTGCTGCATGCCCATGTCCTTGAGTGGATAATAGTCTTATTGTTGCTCGCTCTGACTCTTAGGCGCAACATGCACGAAATGACCGATGGCTTGGAAAAACCAGGCCAGATTCGAGTGCCACTGGCAATAACACTGGCCATTGCTTGGGTCCTTGTGTACTTCTGTATCTGGAAAGGGGTTAGCTGGACAGGGAAGGTAAGACTTTTGGGTGCCCGAAGGCAGCTTCTAATGACGTTTGTGTGAAATCAAATATTTAGAGGTGTAATATCACTCTCATCAATCATTCAAATCACAGATAGCGTTGTGCAGATTGATTTGTAAGAAACCGACAAACACTGATGTTAGCTGATCCTATTCTGCCTGCGGTGGCTCCTCAAAGTCCAGACTCCAGGGAGCAGTTGTGTGAGCATTAAGAGGAGCAACAAGCAGCCTTAAACTCTCTTCTCATTTTGTTCACTATCTTCACATGAAGCACTTCACCTCCCTTGTTGTGCGGCATTTCTTTAGCCCAACACATCACCATGGCAATTTCAATTTGGAGTGGTCACTAAAACACTCAACGACACATTCGCTCACAAATTGCATGGATTTTTTTCATCAGAGTGCACATACTATAAAAAACTGATTTTAAAAGCTTCCCTTAACCCACTTTATTTGCATTTATGAAATAAGTCATTTGAATTCCTTGCGAAGCGGCCATTTCTGACAGTGTCTCTCTTGTAGGTTGTGTACTTCTCTGCCACGTATCCTTACTTCATGCTGTTTATCCTCTTCTGCCGTGGGGTCACTCTCCCAGGAGCTCTTGATGGAATTAGGTTCTACGTGACCCCCGATTTTGAGAAACTGAAAGAATCCGAGGTTTGATCCCAGATGATGACGTCAGCAGAGCCTCGTCGGGCCACTCACGCTGTGGTGTTTGTGTTTCAGGTCTGGCTGGATGCAGCAACACAAATCTTTTTCTCTTATGGCCTGGGTCTGGGCTCGCTTATAGCTCTGGGCAGTTACAATCCTTTCAACAACAATGTTTACAGGTAAGCTGCTGAAGATATGACCATTTATTTAAAGTCCATCTTATCTATAAAGAAAAAAAGCCTGTGTCTGTGCTGCCAGGCCGTGGAAAATGTCAGTAATTTGAAATGGTTCATTAGAGCATATTATATTTCCTTTAACAAGCTCATGTTCAAGGGCACGAGTAACAGTCCTTTTTAATGTCACCGGCATGACTGTAATATCAGTCCATGATTATATGCCAGGGGTGTCAAACATGTGGCCTGCGAACAAGATATAGAGGCCCCCTATATGATTTGTTGATGGTGTGAGGTTAATGAGCTACATTTCTCACAAAAAAACACCCAATTTATTTTTTTAATTCTAAACATTAACCCAAAATGAAATTAATAATGGTAAAAAAAAAGAAAAAAAAAGTCTACAATGAACATTTTTCCTTATTTCCATTTTTTATTCAGTTATATCTTTCTGAAAAATCTACCAGAAAAGAATAAACAAATTTAAAATAGTCAGTAGGCACAACACCCTCAATAATTTAATTCATCTAATAAAATACAATGCCATAGATGTAAAATATGTGATATAAACAAATGTTCCTTTAAGAAAACTATGAATTTCGGTCCCCAGACCAAGGTGTGAGAGGTTCTTCAGCAGCATGGTTCTAGTGTAGTTCTAGTTACATAAAAAACTATGAAAATATAACATATATTGTAATATATTATAATTGAATGTATGTATGGGTCGTTCCCAATGATTAAAGTTCAATATCCTGCAAATAGGATCAGATTATGATGTTTTGGGCTCGACACAGTGGAACAATCTGACAAGACAATGTGATATTTGCTTTCCCCAGAGACTCTATCATTGTGTGCTGTATCAACTCATGTACCAGCATGTTCGCTGGCTTTGTCATCTTCTCCATTGTTGGTTTCATGTCACATGTGACAAAGAGACCCATTGCTGATGTAGCAGCGTCAGGTAAATCACCAAATACTGAACATATATTCATTTGATGCATCCAAGAGAAAACTAATGCCTCGTCTGGTGCTCAGGTCCTGGCCTGGCCTTCTTAGCCTATCCGGAGGCAGTCACCCAGCTGCCTGTGTCTCCTCTCTGGGCCATCCTGTTCTTCTCCATGCTGCTCATGCTGGGGATTGACAGTCAGGTAAGGGCTTTGCTCCACCCTGCTCATGGTGGCTTAAGCGCTAAGATGGAGGGGCATATTACCCAGCGGGGCCTGCTCGCTGCACGATAAGCATGAAATCTAAATCTGTGTGTAGTTAAAGAATATCAGTCAGATTTGACTTTCAGCCTTGATAATGAAACAGTCCCTTATTTGGACTGAAAATTTCTGCAACAGTCTAAATGCAAAGCAAACAAGGTCAGATAAGGCCACAGAGCATTAGGGGAAGAGGCCAAAACACAATTTTATTTGAATACTGTGTGTATAGAAATCAATATTAAAATCTTACTGTGTCCCTTTTTTGCTGGCTTAAAAACAGACACTAGCGCATTGCTGTGGCATGTAGGTCTGTAGGGGGAGCTATATAGGACTCAAAGTCACATTCTGTCTGATTATATTGACCTGAGCCATCCCAAACTCATCTCAATAACATCAACACTTTAGGTTAATTAAATAAATCATTGCCAGTTACCAAGGCAACATCATACACACACACTCACAGACACACACACAGACACACAAACTCACACACACACACACACACACACACAAACACACAAATATACACAGACAGGAAGATAGACAGACAGACATTCCTTGCTTTTAGAGATAGAGTGTGCAGAATTACATGAGCAGTTGACTACTATTACAGTATGAGTTGTGGTTGGTTTTTAAAGTTTTTCTACTTAAAATGTATTGATTCAGGCAAAATGAACATTAGTTAAAAATATTACTAAGTCAAGTCTTGTGCCACACAGAAAATAACAACAGTACTTGTCAATGTTGTAAATGCGCTTGTGTTTAAATCTGGAGATGGTGACATACCCTAACTATGTTTAACTATCATTTATCAAAAGAAATATCAGAGCTTTTAATGCATTTGTAATCTGTTCTATTCAAATGGCTCATTTACTCAAGATGCTAAACAGAAAACAGGCCGTGGGCACTGGCTCCGTAATTTTATATTGATTGAGCCCATATAAACTACTATTAGCGCAACAACATAATCTTCTTTTTATTGGAAAGACATTTACGTAATAACTGCTCCTCTTACCTCCACACTTCAACACAAGTAGCATTAACATATTCACACTTCTACACCCTACACTCACCATAAACAGCCTGTTCGTTTCTCTAGCTATGGGCAAAGTATGGATGCGAGTGTTCACAATGTGAGTCTCTATGCTCTCCTCAGTTCTGCACGGTGGAAGGCTTCATTACCGCTCTGGTGGATGAATTTCCCAGAGCTCTTAGGGGCAGGAGAGAGCTATTCATTGCAGCTGTGTGTGTGGTGTCCTATGTGATCGGACTGTCAAACATCACGCAGGTAAGGCCAAGAAGCTGACTTGTATGCTCCCATGACGCAGATGTCCCATATTTCTTACAAAGTAATCCATTTTTATGTGACCAGGGTGGGATCTATGTGTTCAAACTGTTTGACTACTACTCTGCCAGTGGAATGTGTCTGCTGTTCTTGGTCTTCTTTGAATGCATCTCCATATCCTGGTGCTACGGTGTGTATCATCATTGTTTTGTTACATGTTTTAGCATATTTTAAGCAATGCAGTTAATTGTTACGGAAGCGTTTGCGTACACCAGGTCTCCTACAACCTCAAGGTCATGAGCGCTCGTGTGTTCCACTTCACCCGCCTCATCATCACGCATGCCAGGCCGGCAGCAAATTGAAATAAATTGAATCTGAATTTTGATTCATTTCTCGCAGGTGTGAACAAGTTCTATGACAACATCGAGGAGATGATTGGCTACAAGCCCTGTCTATGGTGGAAGCTGTGCTGGGTTGTGTTTACTCCTCTCATTGTTGGTGTGAGTAAAACTGGACCTACATTAAAATAGATATAATAAATTATATCAATATTACCTGCCTGTGGAGGCATAGATGAATGATTCCCATTTCTTATGTCTGCCACAGGGTGTTTTCCTGTTCAGTGCCATACAAATGGTTCCTCTCAAAATGGGAGACTACGTGTTCCCGGGCTGGGGTCAGGGAGTAGGCTGGCTCATGGCACTGTCCTCCATGGTCCTCATCCCCGGATACATGATATACATGTTCGTAGGACTGAAGGGGACCTACAAAGAGGTGAGAACATTCAAATGTTGTGGTTTATCAGCTATAGGACTTGTTTGCACTGCTGTTCAAACATAACTGCACAGTTGCTCAACATGCAAGCAAAAGGGTTTCTAACTGCCACACCTGACTAACCCAGGAACAATGTTGGATAAGTCAACCAACCAGTGGTAATTGGGTTAGGGTCTGGGCCTGAGTTAGGGTTAGGAGTCCAGGTAATGAGTCTCAATTGACATTGAGTCTGGACTCTTAATGAACTGGTGATATCAGAAGGTGTCCTGACTAGCCATGGTGCCCAAGTTACAGCAGACTTTGAGGTTCCATAAGTACATTTTTATATGTGGGAGTACTCCTCCTTCAGGCGAGAAGTTTCCACATGACCATCAGTCTTTTTGCTATAGTTCTTCTATAAGACCTGAACACAGAAAGAAGGCCTTTAACTATTTTGCATCTAAAAATGTGGATTATTAATTAATCTAATTTACGCAAAGTTTGACACCTCAAAAGCAACTTTGCATGTTAATAATCTGGTTTGATACTTTAATAAACATAACTGTGCTCCTTATTTATGAATAGTTTTATCATTATTGTGCTAATGTTTTTTGTTTGTTTCTTTTCTTATCTTTTTCTTTTGTGAAAATGTACATATGCTCACGAACTGTAGTGGACTTTGACTTTTGAGCATTTTTGAGATTTGTCTGAACTGGCACGTATTATTGTCATAAATGATTTGTGCTATTCTACATTTATACCAATAAATATATATTTATGTTCTAAACTATACAGTTGATGTTACACGATACATTTGTTTGTTTGTGATTCCCAGCGACTTCGGATAATGCTCCAGCCGCCTGCAGTGACCAGGAGGCCTCAGGAGAACGGCCCGGATCAGATTGTGGAGACCAACACCGCAAACCTGTCCAGTCCCACCAACGCAGCCAGTCCCTCATCCCAGGCCCCTGCCAACGCAGCCAGCCCCGTCAACCCCGCCCCGGTCCCCAGCCCCAACCCGGTGACCAGCGCCAGCGCGGCCCCTCTCCCCGCCAACCCTCCCACCGTGTCCAGTCCGTCAAATCCAGCAGCAAGCCCAACCACCGCTGTCATCACCACAACCACCACTGTAAGCGCCAGTGCGGTCACCAAAAGTAGCCCGACCAGCGCCGCCCCGGCTGTCGGGAGCCCGGTGGACACGGTGACCCCCCCGAGCACAACGACCGCCACCTCCAACCTGACCAATGCAGAGGCCAACGTGTAGACAACGAGCACACCCTCATGGAGCATGTAGATAAAAGAGAACACTACAAAGAACTTCCAAGATTTAAATTGATTCACCTACCTCCGAGGGCAATATATAATCAAAAAAACAGATTTTCAACAAAACAAAAAAAACATCTCTTGTTTATTTTCTGCATTTGTAAAGCCAAGCCAATGATGTCTAATTGCCGGCTTGCTTTTGGGAAAACAATATCAAAGACTGTTAGTGTTCACAACTTCAACCGTCAATCTGAAAATGTAAACATACTGTGTAATACTGTGAGAAAAGAAGAAAAAAACCTAGAGAAATAGATTAGAGATTTGTTGAATATCTTCATGATTCAAGTAAATACAGTGTGAATATAGTAGATGAAGTAGTGAACTAAAATGAAGAGTGCAATGGGTTTCTTGTGGATGTTTACGGCGCCTCACACAACTGTCTCTGGTGTTAGCGTTGCACTCTGTGAGGTACAGGCCGCAAGGCGAGCACAAGCTCCGAGTAAGCACAATGCCAATAAGAAGTTCATGATTACGAGTCCTGGAGAAATCCAGTTTTTGTCGCAAAAGATATGTGTGTGTGAGAGAGACTGTTATTTTTTCCTTCCTTTTACAGTGGAAAAAAAAGAGAAAAAAATACTTTTATGTGATGAAACATTTTTAGACTTATTTTTAGGATGTTTTATACTATACGTGTTGTGAAGGAGGACCAAAATCAATAGGCAGACAAAAGCAAAAACTATGCCATTTAGTGTCGGGTTGGCAAAGCACAGGGTACAAAGAAGTACAAAAAGCACAGGGTTAGAAAAGTGATTTACAAACATCGACTATCCCTTTCTGCTGACAGTCAGTCCTGTTTACTTTTTGCATGCTTTCCTCAGGAACATCAGTAAAAATATCTGAAATATCTCCTGACAAACAAAAAAGAATAAGAACAGAGAAGGCCTTAAGCCAACAAACCCATTCTGTCCGAGCCATAGTCTATTTACACGACTGGGCACAAAGACAAAACACAGCTCTGTAAGCTAGCACAAGCCTGGACCAACTCTGTGTCTCTGTAGTCATTCCTTTCTCCATGTGTACTGATCAAGCATAGTTTGATCTATATGTATTGAGCAATACATATGTAGATGTGCGTATGTGTGCAGGCCAGTAAGCAAGTGGTCTGTTTCTCTTTTTGTTCCTGTTGTTATTGCTTCACTAATGAAAAGCACAAAGCTTTAATTCCCCCAGATATCCGCGATGGCGTGTACGGACAATGTTAGTTTGCTTCTATGGCAGCTACTGTGAGAGGCATCTGGTTGAACAGAACATGTTTACTTTGAAAAGCAAAACAACTGAGCGAAAATGTGAAATGGCTACAGTTCATGTCCTGTGAATTTTGTATAAAGTTACTCTGCCACAGTTTTCTCTGGAACTTTGTTGTAAAACTGTACCGTGTAAAACATGTAACTGTGAATGTCTGTATTACATTGGAAGTTATTGTCTAAATGTTGAAAAAATGGAGTTGCTGTTTTCTGCAATAATATTTTGATCACAGAAGCTAAAGCACATACCTTACAGAAATATATGAGATGATGACTATGACAATGAAGATGCTGAGGATTATATTAAAAATAGAACTTATGTCTAGTAAAACAATATTGTTTTGTATATTTTTAACTGTCTCACTGCCTAATGTAAAACAAAATATAAACATGATATGTATCTAAATGGTGTCACATGATAAAGCACGATTGTTATGTTACAAATCGAAAAAGACTGAAAAAATAAAGAGTTATAGAAGTTATAAATACCATATACGTTTGGCATATGTCGCATACAGCATGTGTTTTTTAAGTAGCATCCCCTCGCCTACAAGCGTCTTATTAGGAAATTGGGTCAGCTCAAGTATCCGGTGCTCGGAGCAGAATCCTTTAGCATTAATTGGCTATTGTGCAAACGCTTGAACATGTATCTTCACAGATAATAAACCGTAGATTACTATGTTACAAATGTGAGAAAGGAAAATGTAGTTTTAGTCAGCTCATGTGGGACGCTTCAAATTAAACAAAAGCTGTCTTTTTGTAGACAATGACATTCCACCACAGGGGTAAAACGCAACTGGGGGATAGCATCAAAACATCAAACGAGTGGCAGAGAAAACAGTCTGAAGCCCTTCCTTGAGGTTTATTGAGTGTCAGAAAACCCAAGCTGATAGAAAGGCAGCAGAAAGCAAGAGAAAACAGCCTCTGCCCCGGGGCCTGGCATGCCCACCCGCCCCATCTCCACAACCTCTTATAGCTCAGTGTGCATTTGTGAGCGTGTGTGTGTGTGTGTGTGTGCGCGCGTATCCTATCCCCCACCTCCTCTTGCTTCCATTAGCTTCCAGTGTGTGATAAAAGAGACGGCACCAGCTGACACCACCACAATGACTCGTCTTGGATAAAAGAATGAGATGTCCTCTCTCGTCGCTCGTGGCAAATTCTGTCTGTGTTTGTAAGGGAGAGATTGAGAAAAATAGGTTAGAGAGACGCTGGCTACTACTTGTGTGGCTTCCAGTGGTCTCAAGCTTTGAATAATGCCCCTAATGGCTGCTATACCAAACTAGCCCCTGATGGATGGCTTCACTAGTCCCCCTCTCCTCTATTCCCACATGTGCAATTTGGCATCATTACCTATATATAAAACAGTCACCACCAGTCCGCCAAGACAGAGATGTGTTGCCTCCACCACGGCCATAGATCATCATTTTGAGCAGGGGCGGACAGCAGAGGGAAGCTCTAAATTAGTTGGTGCAATCTAGCAGAAACATAATTAGTCACAGGTTAAGGTCAGCAGAAGTCTCAAGAGCCTGTAATGGTCTTGTTTACCATCATTCAAGTGTATTACTGTTTTTATTGTAGCCACTGTGATGACTTTATTATGAAGCCTGTTGTAAACAGCTCGGGGGGGTTGTGTAGCATTGGGAAAAAGAGAATGCAGTATTGTCGTAGCAGCAGATATAAGATTATTAACCATAAAAGCCACTGTTTACAACCATAATAAACTCATAACATATAAGTAATGAGACATTTCTAGAATAGTTGCTGACCACATAAGACCTTTAACATATTCATCTTTCTGTCTATAATCTGAAATGAGACTGAATAAGGGATTAATCAACTTTCTTACAATAATCAACAACCATTTTAGTCGTTGATTAAGCGTTAACAGGTGTATAGACAGACTCCAACACATATAAGTGCTTTGACATTTGACTCAAACAGTAACAGCATAAACAATATTCAGGACTTGTATAAATGTCTCCTTTTTGATGCAACAATAAATCAAAAAGTACTACTAGGATTTCCTCCATTGGCTTCACTCATCATCCCACAAACATTTTCCAACACACTCCTGCCTGCGTTCTCAGCAACCGAAAATAATCGATTATCAATCCAATTTATTATAGTCTGATCTTTTGGACTGAGTAGGCTGATTTACAGTTACAATATTTATGTTCTCGATTAATTTGCATTTTTTTAATTGTCATGTACATGTTTAGGTAAAACATAATCATTGGTTCGGCGCGCGGCTAACGTTAGCTAAACTTAGCATTAGCATTTAGTTAGCCGCCCATTCAGACAAGACACGAGTGAAACTATAGCAAGTAAGTTCTTTCATTTTGCTTATTATGCCGATGTTGCTTCTTTTCCAAATACTTTACCTTCCTCAGCGTATCTTCCACGCTCCCTTTAGATTGCAGCATTGTCCATAAATAGAAAACCCAGGTCCTAAACAGAAACAAAGACATAATGAGTTCATGTTGTTACTTGTCACGAAGAAAAGTTTAGTGAAACATGTCAAGAACTTTTCAAGGTTTAAAAATACAGTACGTAGTGAATATATATATTTTTATATTACTGTCGCCTATCTCAAGCTATTTCAACAATTCAAGGACATTTACATCCCGCGAAAACCCCTATTAAAATATGAAAGGTTGTCAGTGGTTTGAATGTGACCTATATTTCAGATTATCCATACTCTCTTTTAAATCTTTGAGGTGGTTCTCTGCAAATGTGTGTGCATGTGATAATGTAAAACGATTCTGTTCTTTGCAGAGAGAGGTCCCTCCTGACAAGCTCCAGTTTTTGGCCAGGTGTGCGCAGGCAAAGGGACATTGTTTAGTGTTTGGCGATTCCACTGGAGCTTTTGTGAGACTATTTTTTAAGATAACAAAAATGGCTGCAAGATAGGATACAAACTGGTGATGCATACTGCCTTTCTGGAGGGCTGACAGACTGCTAACAGGAAATCAACTCACAGAAATGAAAGGAAAATACAATACATTACAATAAAATACAATAGATTGTCAGGTTTGTGGAAATGCACACTCATCATCTTGAGATTCATGACACACAATTCACCTTTTTTCAATCAAACTAGATGAGAATACGTACAATGACAATAATACATATTTTAAAATTTATGATGTAAACTGTTTTTATTAGTTTCCCCCGCGGAGTCCGCTCCCTTAGAAATAGGGTGAGGAACTCAGTCGCACGGGAGGAGCTCGATGTAGAGCCGCTACTTCTCCATGCCAGAGGAGTCAGTTGAGGTGGCTTGCGCATCTGTTTTGGATGCCTCCTGGACGGCTTCCTGGGAAGGTGTTTCAGGCATGTCCTGCCGGGAGGAGAGGGAAGTCTGGGTGTCTCTGTTGCAGCTGCCCCCTTGACCCGGCAACAGATAAAGCAAAAGAAAATGAATGGATGAATTTCACTGTTTTGGCCACAAATACGATCCATAGTGAAGCATTTGTTATGCATTTTGACTACTATATAGTTATTTATCACCACTCAACAGTCATATCAGTTTTATAACAGCCCTATAGTACACAATGCAACTCGCCACCTTGTCGCCTCCATACAGATTGATTTTCCATTAATTTTGTGAAATACTGTGTTGATACAGGACAACAGCGGTGTCCTGTTGTCCTGTAAAAACGTTTTTTTTGGTTTGAATCCTCGTCGGCTTTTCGCCACAGAGAAGACAGGAACATGCCAAAATTAAGGACAAAGGTCAAAACAAACGTCACATCGCAGTGCACCAAAATCACGTTATAATGGATAATGGCAAGTTTATCATCCATGTCAAGCAAATCCAAGGATCTGTTTTACAGTCTAAAACTGTCACATAAGAGCCTATTATTTGTCGCCATAATAAACATCTATATAATAATTACGATAAACATGGAGAACACATGAAAGATCTCAGCTCCTGTGGACTCACCACCTGCAGGAGGATCAGTGAGGGGCTGGTGCTCTGTGTACTGGGTGCAGCTCTGACTGCCCCGCCGACCCAGAAATGGATTAAGGGGAAGAAAATGGATGGATGGATGGAGAACATAGATGTAGAATATACCATAACCCTACATTTGTCCTTTAAATAGATGTGTAATGACTCAAAATATAATCTTCGGTTCTCATCATCTTCTGTGGGAGCGACCCCCCCCCCAGCCCAAAAGCAACAAGATTTTCGCAAGTAGCAAATACATTTTTTCTTTCTTCATTTTAAAATCTGAAATAGACACCATCAATAAGCCAATGTCATCCCATACATTTTGATTTCATAATAGACTAGATAGATACATTTTTTAGACATTCTTTGGAGGCAAAGCAAAGTCATCTAGACTGGCCACCAGTAAAGTTGAAGATGGAGAAGGATTTAACGTCTTTTGAAAACAATAACATACACAGTGCCTGAGTGTTGACTTCATCTTCATCTGGCCGCTGCATTTAAACAGATTGGACGTGACTTGATTACTGTGATGCCTCCAGTGTGGCCCAAACTTGTGTCTGAGGTGCACTCAGTGGAGAATTCAGAGTAAATACATTAATGAATAACTAATCTTTGCAGATGCATGAATCTACATATCAATGTAATCAGAGGGTGTTGTGTGCATGGCTATTTCCAGTAGATTGGCTGAGAGGGTTTCAAGTATGCAAAGCCTCTCTGCCTTTATGCTAATACAACTGCTTTCTTCAATGTGAATATGAAGCCAGCTTAAAATGAACTTGTTTTCTGGTTCACCTTTATAGGAGAGCAGTTCCATCTGTATACAAACTACTCATGCCTGTAAATATCCTGTGGATTTGTGAGCTGCAGCAATTCAAGATGACAATTTAAAGGTGCACAGCGGGGCACAGATAGAGGTAATGTTTTTCTTGATTATATTCTGACACTGTTGCACATGTGTGCAAATATAGCATAAAGCATTTGACAGCATACACTTTACCTATACTACATAATGTTTAAATTCATATTCTGAAATTTCAATGAGACTGTACAACAGATAACAATTTAAATTATCTTTGGAACTAATTGCAGTGATCAAATATCAAAAAGTCTAGTTCAAACTTAGAGAAAACGGCAGTACTTTAGAAGAAAGAAAAATACCTTCTTGGATTCTCTTATTGGTTGTTATATATTCTCACCCCTCATCATTAGATGCTATTTGAATTCATGTTTATCTCTTCGGGTCAATCCGGTCTTGAGACGGTATGATCTATTTTAGGGATGCACCGATTCTGATCCTGAGCCTCATGCTGCTACATGTACAGTAGTTTCATCACTGAATATTTGAATTCACAGTGCTAACGACTTATTACTTCAATATTCTTGCACTAGACTCGAGTGTATTACAAATGTATCTCCAGATGTATACAAGCATATTTTTTAAAGTATAGAGTTATGCTATGCTTAATATTCCCCTATCTTGAGTTGTGTGCTCCTCATTCCTAGTGTTCTAAAACTTCTGATGCGACTCTGACATTTCCCCACTGTGGCACAAATAAGAAATCTCTTAATTATAATCATATATGTTCCCCATAAACAGTGATCTCTGAAAAAGACAAATTAAATTGTCGGTGCGATGAGCTATTCAGATGGGGCTGCTTTAGCTAATCACAATACTACAGTGAGTTTGCTTTAGCGCCTCTTGTCGTTGGTCACGGTTTGTAACATCTCTCCAAAGTGCCAGAGGCTTATGAGAGAGTCATTGTAGATTACTGCTCGGGTCAAACACTGCATGCAAATTAGGCAGAAGCAGACCAAGTGAATCACTGAAAATAAAATCATTTAGATGCTGAATACGTCTGCAAAGGAGACAACCACGCATGTTGTGCCTGAAATAGAAACAATAACTACAAGAATTTACTTATGGATTTTGTTGAGGGAGAAACAGCACTTGGGGATATGGCCTCTTGGAAATAAAGTGGCAAACAAACCTATTCAACAATCAGGACGGACACGGTAATTTCTCAAGATGTATTAATTTGAATTAATTGATTAAAACATGTATTTTAAAGTTATGCACTGTTGATCAGAAATTAACCCCGCAAGTCAGCATTAAAGGTCACATTTATTTATATACCAGCTCCAAAGTGCTGTGCAAATGCCCCAGATACAAGCAAAGAACAGCTACCATTGAACATAACTTTGATCTAAAAATACATATTCATTCATTTAATCACCAGCGAAAAATGATGAGTTTTTTAGCTGTGAATTGAAACTCAGCAGAACTAGCAGCTCATATGTCCATTCAAGGGAAGAGAGAGATTATTTATTTTTATAGAATCGAGCAGGATTTGAATAAAATTGCACCGAATACAGCTTTTTTACGTACAATATCCTATTAATAATGGAGAATTATGGATGTGGATTTGAATTGATGAATGAAAGATTATGATGACGTGAGGATGACAAAATTGTTGTTATTGTACCAGAAAAATAGACAGTTGAGATCGCTTTAGAAGTCAGATGAATGCATACATAGTTGGATTATTGGTACATAATTTTCAAACCAGAAAAAAGTGTAACTATGTAATAAAATCCATATACCAGCAACTACGTACAGTCGTGTTCTATCTATCACTGGTTCTATCACCCTGTATTTGTGGCCGCTGGCACATATTTAAATCAGCTTTTCAGACAGAAAGGTGAAAAAGAGAGGACCTCCCCTCACTCAGCCAATCAGCTCTCAGCCCAAAGCTATAAATTGTGACTCACAGGGTTCTTTCTTATGTTTTCTAATAAGATTAATATAAGATGAATAAGACTCTTTGGACAAACACAATATGCAATCTATTGAATAAAGTGTAGTACCCTAGCTTAAATGTCATCGTTTGTCATTTAGAAGATTTGGTGATTTTAATAGACACTTGGATTAAAATATTAAAATTGATCTTGGTCTAGAATGTGTTGCAAATCAGCAAAAACACATATCAAAAAATCATCCAAAAAGTTGTATTCCTGTAGCTACAATCTTCTTGGCAGCACATTTGAAAGGATTTGGGCAAAGCTTTATGTGTATAGCAATAACATAGATCTGGCTTTTCAAAAAAACCACTTGGTAAAGAGCAAACTGTAATCCTTTCAGATATGTATTCTAGGGGCACTTACTGTTATGGTAAATGAACTGGGGCATTGTGAACGAAATTGTTGCAGTAGGAAAGAAATCTCACATCCCTTATAACAATAGTGTGTTTGATTCCGGATTTATCCCACCCGGATCGCCTGCAAAAGACTTGTGTGTGTGCTTTGTTTGCAGATGTCTCCGAGTGATTGTACAGGATGTGATGTTGCACCATTACAGCGTTCAGTGGAAGGACAGCACGGGCTTCAGCTGCAGGCGGAGCTTCACAAAGACCTGCATCCTAAATAAGTTCTGTCAGATTACGCTGCACGCACTTAGCAGCTCGCTCCTCGGGACGTTAACTCCGTCTCTGCCGCTTATTACAGAAGCAAATGACAGCAAAGTGGAAAGGTGAGAAGCAGATGGAGGAGGAGAGTTTACTACCAAATCATAATATACAAGGTTTATAGATGCAGACACAGTCATATGCCTCCGAGTGTTGACTGTATCATTATGGGAATTTATATAGCTTAAAAGCATGTGAAACTAGCCTGACTGGATTTTACAATAAATATTTCCATATACGTGGGGAGCTGGATTCAGTTCAAAACATAAGATCCACAATTTGTAGTATTGGTGGTCCTAATTATTAATTTGTAATTATTAGGAATCGAAAATGGAGCATTCTGAATGGAGATGGCATTCCACTCTGGTTCCAAAAGGGAAATTCCCAATTCTTAATAAAATCCAAATATTATATGTTAGCTACATTCCACAGCCCCAAAAACAACAAAATGTAAAATAAACCTTATTTATATATTACTGTAGATCTTGGGGTAGTTACTAAATAGAGGATGAGCAGCCTAATTTTTTATTCTGTTTTAATTATTTGTTGACATCCCTATGAAAAAAAACAACTATTTGTTTATGGAATCAGGAAGTGGGCGGGAACCTATCTGCTCCATAGCCAAAGGAACGATAAGAAGGTGAACCATTCTTTTAATACTTTACTTTAAACACAACCATTTTAGCAATAATGTTTCCAGTTCACCTCAACAAATGCATGTTCTTATCTGCTCCTATACTCTCGTCCACTCTTTGACTCCAGAAAACTCCCACAGACTTAGTCTACTCAATTTCCCTTTGCAAATTAATTGACAGAAACGTTTGATTCTTAACAGTAGAACTCCCAGAGAAGTCAATTTACCGGATATTATTTTTTGGAAGGGCAGTTTGTTACTGCTTTTGTCTTCATAACCAACCAGATTTCTACATTTATAAAAGCTTTGTTTCTAAATGTAGTTTATTTCGATGTAATTCTTTTTTCCACCGGAGAGGAGTGTTAATTACCATAGCAACGCACAGTTTACTTGTAGCAGTTAGCATTTAGCCTTTCACCAAACAGTTTTTTCTGTATTCTAATTTATATTCTCCAGTTTTAGCACTAAGTAAAAGTGAGTAAAGGTTAAACCCTTATTTCAATAATGGTAACTGAGAGTTATAGGAGGATTTTCTACTTCCGGGTGGATCATTGGTCCTCCTAATTGTCAATCATTCTGATACGTCCTGGTCAAATAAGGTCAGAGAGTTTTGTTCAAAAGATTCGGGAAAATCTTCCTGTTTACCATTAATAAATTCACTTGCTTAATTTTAATAAAAACTCACTTTTTGGGAGAATTTTTCAGAATTCTGTTGATTTGAATGGGAGCCATCAAAAATGATTGTTCTGGGCGGTATAGTAGCTTCAGAAGTCTGAGAGTCCTAGGGTGAACGTCCTGCTTAATATTCCAACACTGCTTCTTTAATTGCAGTTTTTTGCACCCTTTCAGACACCCCCTTTCAGCACTTTAGTCACTTTAGAATAAGGTTACACTTCAAAGAGATCGTGCCATTTTCGTTAATGCAACAGTAATGAAAGACCTACACAACTATTCCAGCAGCGTAGGATTTAGCACACACACGGACGTTGACGTGAGTATTTATGACACGCTGTTTTATGCAAATGTGACCAAGTGACCTTCTCATTAGCCCCAACGCATGAGATTTTCACTCATGTAGCCATGTCTCTGACTGCTCTTTGCGACTCCACAGAACAAAACATCCAAAAATATACCATTCTCTGTCTGTACTCTGTCTGGGAGATGTTTTGAAAACCAGTTTACATGCACTTAACTCCTTCTGACTCAAAGAAAACACAACTTTTTAGGAGAACTGTCATTTGCAAACAAGTTCATTCATTCCCTCAGTGTCTGGATCTTACACAACCAAACACAAGTGATGATTAAGGAGGCCAGGAACCTCGCGGACATGCTCATTCTTGGGGAAGGGGTGAATCATTGCCTTGATGTTGCATGCTTTCTTTTCAGATATGTCACGGTGGTTTTGGGAGGGCGCTCGCTGATGGGTGAAGTGGACCGGGCAGGGCCGTCTCAGCAGCATCCCCGTGTGTCTGGGCCTTCTGCAGGCGCTGGCCCTCCCCTGACCTGCTCGCTGACAGGTAAGACATCAGTGCTCAGCCTCCAGACCACTGCCATCGTACAAACAGAAGGGCTGTGGGAAAGAGTGGACAGAGCATGGTTCTAAATAAATACCTAAAAGTACTATATGCTACTAGAGTACTATTTATCAATCAATCACTTCATTCAGTGCAACCCAAAGTGCTTTACAAAGACATACAATTATACACATTTACAAGCATTATAAAACATAAAAGGTAAAACAATAACGTAAAAATAAACAACATAACACTGATTGTCAGAATTTACTTGAGAATTGACAGATTTTTAATTTAACCCCCTACTTTTAAAGAAGACATTATGCATTATTCTTTGGCTATTCAAAATTATAATAAGACTATTTACTTAATTTAATTTAATGTTTTAGAATGTGGAATTATATCTTAAGTGGAAAATATACACTACCATTCAAAAGTTTGGGGTCACATTGAAATGTCCTTATTTTTGAAGGAAAAGCACTGTAGATAACTTTAAACTAGTCTTAACTGTAAAGAAATACACTCTATACATTGCTTATGTGGTAAATGACTATTCTAGCTACAAATGTCTGGTTTTTGGTGCAATGTTGTAATTGCTGCAAATGGAGGATTCTTTGACAAAAGCAAAGTTGGATGTAAAACAAATCTTATTTCAAATACAAATCATTATTTCTAACCTTGTCAAAGTCTTGACTCTATTTTCTATTCATTTCACGTATGGTGGTGAATAAGTGTGACTTTTCATGGGAAACACTTGGGTGACCCCAAACTTTTGAACGGTAGTGTGTGGTGACACAAGAATGAAGGTTAAAAATGCTTTCTGCCTGTAACTCCCTATGCTACCACCAGATGGAGTAACATTTGATTGCTTTTTCTTTTCTTCAAATTTGCAAAATACTGCTAACACAGCTGTTGGATTGCAAAGAACAAAAGTTCTCAAGTTATTGCTAAAAATTACTTATAAATAAATGTTGTGGTTAGCTTTGCTCAAGTGCTAAAGTGCTCTACCTCATGTTTCTATTGCCATCATCTCAGAATCAGAATCATTTTTATTGCCAAGTAACAGGAAGTCACAGACTTGGAATTTTTTTGGCTCAGTGCAACAGTCAGAAAAAAAGGTAAAGAGTAGAGAAGGCATAATACAAAATAAAAAAATACATGTAATGTAGTGCATATGAACTACTTAATATGATAAATATTGGTTCATATATATAGAATCTGTTTGACTTTGTTACTCAAGTCCAATTAAAAACATATACGTAGGTCAACTTATCCTCAAGAAGTGAGTTATTTCAATACATTTACTTGTTATGAGAATATACTGTTACTTGAGTCCTGTAGTTGAGAATGGTTTGTTTGCCTTCTCTCCCCACATGTGAGAGTGTGATTTGTTTTGTGTTATTTTCCTGTTTGGCATCTTTGGTCTGTTCTTCAAGGTGACTCAGACATGAAACTCCCCTGCCCTGAAGTAGCAAACAGATAGAAGATCATACAGAATCTATCTCTTCTCCATCAATAGTGCATTGTTTAATTTGTAATTGCAGAATCCTTCACCAGTTAATTCTTTTATAGGATTTGGAGTGTGTATGCCAGTGCTGTCTTGAGACTAAGCAAATAGATTTGATTGTGTTTAATCGCACTCCCGGACTGAAATCAAGCAGCAAATTAAAATTGATGTTCTATAAGTGTAGGCCCTGGAGTGAACTTACAAGATCGTAGTGGTCTGACATTGTGTAGCAGCCAGGTTCCTGTGCTCTGTCAAACACGTCCTCTGGCAGGGCCTAATGTGGCGTGTGACACGTCGCAGCCGATCACTCTGCGCACAGATGACCGCCTGCTTACGTATGCGCCGTGCACACTGGACCCAGAGCAGACACTGTCAGGTGTGATAACGGTTCGAGCTCTAAAGTCACGCTGAAGCCTTGCCCTCTCCCATAGTGCTCCTCTTTGCCATGGAGCGGCCACACAGTCTGTGTGCCTCACGAGCCCGAGACCATACTCTGCTCCATCTCTGGGTTTCACTGATTATACCTGATCTACTCTGCAGTGTGAAACGTCTGACTACAATGTCTGATTTATACACCTCTCAACATACTCTATACGCCTTTTACACTAACGCCATCTGTCCTGAGACTTTTGGTTCAAAAGGATTTTTATCCAAAAGTGTATTTCTGTTCTATTATAGGTGTTCCTAGCTCGCGAGGTAGTCTTTTTGCAGAGGCATGTGCAGTCCATCAGTCTGCCCCAGGGCAGCTGTGGCTACAGCAGTGGTTTACCACTGCCGTGTACGGAGTGAATTAATATTGCCATGTGAAGTGTCATGTGAATTATGCATTATTGTCATTAGTAATATTGTTCAGTGTCATTTAGAAACAATAAAACTGTTTTATAGGTTGCTCATGTGTGGGTCGGGATGAAGGTTATAAAACATCACACGAGGGACTGTACTTTCCATAATAACAGCGTTATTGAATGAATGAATGAATGAATGAATGAATGAATGAATGAATAATTTTATTTCAAGCAAGCAAGCAAGCATGAGCATGACACAATGTCACAATAACGAAACTTAAATTCATAAACGTTATAGTAAACAATATATATTAACACAGATTACATTATTTATTTATTATTATCATTATTTTTTTCCTTAACAATAAAGTAATGCTCTTTGCTTGAAAGGGAGTGAGAAGAAGTGAAACACTTGTTTACTCCCACCCCCAACTACAAAATAAAACTAAATACTGGATACCGTCCTGTACAACATAAAGTTACAACAAAGTTTTACATTATACTCTGTCTGTCAGATTAATACATAAACACGTGCAAATGCACACATACATACGCACATATCTTTAAATATACCTGAGTACACGTACATATATACATACACACACATCCATATACATGTACACATATATATATACTAACACGCACAATCGACACACATATAAAGCTTGTATAAGACAATAAAATATACCTATATTCTCTTAGTCTACTTTTGTTTTTAAGTTGGAACCTAACACTATTTAGAACGTTTGATCTAATTTGTATCTCATTAATATAATTTCTTTGTATTTAGATTTGAATTTCCAAAGTACTGTGGACTGTTTGAGGTCGTCCCCCAAACCATTCCAGAGCCGGACCCCACGTACCGACACACACATACTCTTCCGTGTCGTTCTCACGGCTGGAACTTTAAAGATATTAGAACCCCTTAAATTGTGTTTTCCCTGTCTTATTTGAAAAAGTAATTGAATTTTTTTTGGCAGATTATTTTTACTTGCTTTGTACAATAACTGTGCTGTATAAAACTCAACCAAGTCGTAGAATTTTAACTGTCTGGACTGCAGGAACAGTATGTTGGTGTGGTCATAGTAGCCGGCTCTATGAATGGTTCTTATTGCACGTTTTTGGAGTTTCCAGAGCGATTGTAGAGAAGTATTGTAATTGTTACCCCAGACTTCAATTCCGTAAATTAGGTAAGGTAGAACAAGGGAACAATACAATAAATCAAGGGCTTTATGGTTTAAAACATATTTTGTTCTATATAGCAAGGATATATTCTTGGAAATCTTGTTTTGTATATATTTGATGTGTGACTTCCAATCTAGTTTACTGTCAATCATCATTCCTAAAAATTTTATTTCAGACACTTTTTGAATTGTTGTTCCTTCTATTTTTACTATGAGTTCTGATTCTCTATGATTCCCGAAAAAAATTACTTTAATAACTATAACGAATAATTACGAATAATAACTTATTCGTATCCATCCATATTTTGATTTTCTTTAGTTCGTCATTTACTATATTAATTAGAGTGTTTAAATGGTCATGACTATAAAATATGTTAGTATCATCAGCAAATAAAATCATCTTCAGTATATTGGATACTTGAAACAAATCATTAATATACAGAACAAATAGTTTTGGCCCCAAAATAGATCCCTGTGGAACTCCACAAGCAATGCCTCTACGCTCTGATTCAATATCACCCATCCTCACAAACTGTGTTCTCTCTGATAGGTAGCTCTTGATCCAATTCCATGACACCCCCCTAATACCATACCTTTCTAATTTTTTAAGTAAAATTGAATGATTGATAGTGTCAAAAGCTTTTTTTAAGTCTATAAAGATTCCCACTGCATGTCTCTTTTTGTCTAAAGCGCTGGTGATTTCTTCAACCGCTTCAAGAATTGCCATTGTTGTGGATCTGTTTGATCTGAAACCGTATTGTCCTTCATTTAAAATGTCACATGTATCTAAAAAACGTTCTAGGCGCTTATTAAACAGTTTTTCAAGAATTTTGGAAAATTGAGGGAGCAGAGAAATGGGTCTGTAGTTGGTGAAGATGTGCTTATCTCCATTTTTGAATTAGAGAGGTATAACTTTGGCTGTTTTCATATTTTTGGGAAATGTTCCAGTCTGAAATGAAAGATTACAGAGGAAGAAGAGAAGAAGGGAAGAAGAGGAAGTAAGAGGTGTTTGTAAGGGTTGAAATTTGTATTGTAAGGTGTTGAATTTGTTGAAATGGGCTAATGTGTTTGTAAAGTGCCTGATTGTGTTGTAAAGTGCTGAATGTGTTGTAAGGATAATTGTGTTGTAAGTGCTGAATGTGTTGTAAAGTCGTTAATGTGTTGTAAAGTGATAAATGTGTTTGTATAGTGCTAAATGTGTTTTGTAAGGTGTTTTTTTTTGTTTTTTTTTTGGAATGTGTTGTAAAGTGCTAAATGTGTTGTATGTTAGGGCCTGGGACGATTTTGCCTAAAAAAAAAATCTCCGATTTGTTAAAAGAAAAATTCAAGTTTCGATTCAATTCGATTTTTTTTCCCCCAATGCACTTAAAAATGAATGGAACATCAGATATATTAGTCAAAAGTGCAAATTTATTGCTGTGATTGTCCCTCAAGAGTTAAAATGCAAGTAAATGAGGCTCAGTTATTCAACGAATTTTCAACTTTAGCCCAGGTTTAAGCAAAAGTGCAACATCAACTTCACAGTAGCTTAAAATTTTCTGATTAAGAAAATCAGATACCTACATATTTGTAACATATAACATTACAATAAAAAATAAAAATTAATCCTCTCTTAGCTCCTCACATAACGGGTGAATATACAAAAAATTAAACATGCCTGTGGCAGACATATAGCACTAACTAGAACTACTTCTCAAGGATAAACAAATGTAACTTTTATCATTAACAACAAACATAAAGATCTCTGAAATATTGTGCATGCTCATTCTACTTTTTTGCAAGAAAGAATGAGCCTGTCCACAACCCAGGTCCGTGGTTGGCTGAGTAAAACGTCATCTCCCCCAGCTCCAACACCGCGGATCTTTTTCACGAGTTGGTATGTACAGGTGAGGCAGCGCTACAATCGCGAAATACTTGCGACTGGGACAACGAACTGTACCCTCGCATCATAATACTTTTAACAAGCCCCCCCTGTTAAAACCCCCCCGGGAGGGTCGCGGAAACCCCCTTGGGGTGGTCCGCAAGAAGAATTCCAACACAAACAAAAAAAAAAAAGATTTTTTTTTTTTTTTGAGCAAATATAAAAGCCCTTAAATATTAATTAGCATTTGATTTGAATCAAAAGGACTACGTGTTAAATGTGTTTTGGATATTATAAAATATGTTTAATAAACGAAAGTATTTTGGACCCAAGTCATTGCAGCGTCAATCAAAATCATCCACGTAACACAGCTCACATCATGCGCAGCGACAAAGTCGTGTCCTACTGTGTTTGCTCAAACTAAAGGTGTTTGGAGGCTACAAATAAATAATCCCTGCTTTAAAATGAAACGTGGTTAATATCCCACAACAGAAAACCCCGAGGGGAGAAAAGTCACTTGTACAGGGATCAGGCTGATGGTGCAAGAGAGGGAGAGAGGGCAGGAGGGAGTGAGAGAGGGCAGGAGGAGGGAGAGAGGCAGCGGAGGAAGAGAGGCCAGCAGGGAGAGAGGGGCAGCGGGAGGGAGAAGGGCACGGGAGGGAGAGAGGGCAGCGGAGGGAGAGTGGGCAGAGGAGGGAGAGATAGGGCAGCGGGAGGGAGAGAGGGGCAGAGGAGGGAGAGAGGGCAGCGAGGGAGAGAGGGCAGAGGAGGGAGAGGAGGGCATCGGAGGGAGAGAGGGCAGCGGGAGGAGAAGAGGGCACGGAGGGAGAGAGGGCAGCGGGAAGAGGGAGAAGAGGGCAGCGGAGGGAGAGAGGGCATGCGGAGGGAGAGAGGGGCGAGGAGGAGAGAGGGCAGAGGAAGGGAGAGAAAATCACTTGTATCATGGGTCGGCTGATGGAGCGAAGAGAGGAGAGAGGGCAAAGGAGGGAGAAAGGACAGCGGTAGAACGCGCGTTAAAGAGGCCCGCTTAGTCGGAGTCCAAAGGTAAAGAGGTCCGCACATTAAAAGCGGTGGCCCGGTCTACGCCTTTACTGACAGTAACTTTGGAAAGAGAAGCCGCGGGGATGAACCGCAAAAAGTAACAGCATAAAGCGGGGCCGCCCGCCTTTAAGTGTGCGGACCTCTTTTACCGCTGACAATCCGGAAAGGCACGGCCCACTTTACCCGCGGTATGAGAACAGTGATGGCGAGCCGCAAGAAATGCTCCACTTCTGCTGAGGAGGGTTAGCAGGGCATTTTATGATGGGGGTCGCGGGCAAAAGACTTTGGGAACCCCTGCTCTACTAGCACGCTGCCATCTATTTTTGACTGTGTTTACGCGGCGGAGGTGCTGGCTCATAACGCTCTAACGGTAAACCCACAAGGACGAAACGCAAAAAAACTCAGAAAAAAATATTTGGTGAAAAAAAAACTCGAGTTTGCAAAATAAAAATCCTTTTAAAGCTACAAAACGATAATCGATAAATCGATTTTTGCCCAGCCCTAGGTAAGGAGTTGACTTTGTTGTAAGGTGCTGAATGT